AGAGAGAGAGAGAGAGAGAGAGAGAGAGAGAGAGAGAGAAAGATCTAAGAAGACGTGGAAATAGGGAGGAAGTCAATGAAAGTGGTAATATTAGTATTGTCTGCGAAATTTTATATTTTGGTTTTGTCTTCAAATTATACATGGTACCAGAGAGTATTTAATTATTTTAGTGTCTCTGATGGTACTCTGCTATATTTATTAACAATTGGAGTAGCTTCCCTTCGACAACTAGGTTTTGGCTTCTATGCCAGAAGTTTTCAACAATTTCTAAAATTGTCAAGAGGGAGACGTGGCGAAGCTACGAAACTTATTTCTACCTGATAGAAATAGAGTGGAAAAAGTTTTTACCAATTAATTTCAAATACATTTTGAGTTTCATGTAGATGCAACTTTCATTCAAAGCTCCAAAACCTACGCCAGAAGATTTTCACTTTTGAAATCTAGTTTTTAGTTTCTTTCCTCTTAAGTTCGTGTCAAACTGGCATATTTATGACGACTCCCTCCCCACAATAAACATTGTCAAAGCAAAATGGCCTCTGGTGGTTCCCGTGATTATAAGTCCTTGTCTGTGTTTACACCACTTGCTCCATCTCAGCACCAACCAGACAATGTAAGTTAACACGTTGCAGCGTAAGAGATAAAATATATGGCATTGTTTGTTTACTTTTTTACGCACTTGCAGCGAGGAGTTTGTTTTGGTGTGTGGATTATGTTTAGATTTAGGTTAGGCCACCTCTTGAGTAGAGCCCCCTCCTGGACATTAACACTACAGTGATGTAGATCTAGATCTAGATCTAGATCTAGATTCTACATCTATATCTAGATCTAGATAATATCTAGATCTAGATCTAGACTATATTTTTAAAAATGTAATAGTTTGGACTGCTTCAAGCGTCCCAGTCCCATCCCATTAGATGGAGGAGTGCTCGGTAAGATTGCACTTTGGTGGACCCAACTAACTGTGAACGAAGCCGGAACTATTTTTTAGCCTCGCTGTGCAATGGTCCGCTCTTGTGTTATTGTTTTGCATGGTAATATTGAACTTTTGTGGACCCATCACTGAACGAAACCGGAACTACTTTTGAGCCTTGCTGTGCAGTAGTCCGCTCTTATGTTATTGTTTTGCATTTTTGTCTGTTTTTTAAAAGAAAGTGGCTATTCTCACCCGCCCGGAAGTTCTCGCAAGATCAACTCCTCCCCTCTTCTCTCTCTCTCCATCTCTTTCTGAATACTGTCTATCGGTGTGGACGATCAAATTGACCAAAGAAAGTGGCTATTCTCACCCGCCTGGAAGTTCTCGCAAGATCAACTCCTCCCCTCTTCTCTCTCTCTGTGTCTCTCTCTGAATACTGTC